CAGACTGATAAATTGGATTGCTCAGGACATGGAGCACGTATCGAGGGAGGCACCAACAACATCCCCATTTCATAGATGGAGAAATAGAGGCAGGAAAGTCCAGCAGCTCATCCCAGGGCAGAGTCAGACTGGAAACCAGGGCTAGTAGGGGCAAGACAGGGCTCAGTCCCAAACCATATTAGATCCCCAGCCCTGGAAGGGTGAGGAACCCACGGGCGCCCCCTTCTGCTATTCCTCTCTGTCCTCCTCTCTTCCTTTCCAGGAAATAATACGGGAACTAGGAGGGTATCTACAGCTGGGAGAATAATTCGTGACTTGTCTGTTTTCGGTCTGGAAGCAGCGCCCCCCACAGGCTCTGGGTAGAGGACTAAAGACTATCAGCCCCTGGAGATCATTTTAATTTTGCTTGGGTGGCCCAAGAGTTAAAGGAAAGAGAGAGGTGAATGGCCCAGGCGTGGCAGGGTAATCGGGAGGGATGCTTGGGTTTCCAGCCTCCGAGCTCCCTTTGCCTCTATCTGGCTCACAGAGGAGGCCATTACCTACTCTCCAGCAGTCCTCCCTGTGACTGTGAGAAACCCCGCCTTGGGGGTTAGGGACTGCTCTTCCTCCTCCACCTGTGCTCCCCCTCCCTCTCCCCCTCCCTCCCTCTCTTCTTTCCCCGCTCTGCCCTCCCCCTCCTTCCTTCCCTCCCTCCACCCTCTTCCCTCTCCTCTCCCTCCCTTTCTTCCTCCCTCCTGTCTTCCTCCCCATCCTTTCTCCCTCCTCCTTCCTCCCTTCCCTCCTTCTCTCTCCTCCCCCTCCCTCTTTCTTCTTCCCTGTCCTTTTTCATCCCCTTCCCTCTCTCTTGCCTTCCCTCCTCCCACTCCCTCCTTCCCTCCCCCCTTCCCTCTCCTCCTTCCTCCCTCCTCTGCCCTCCTCCTCCTTCTCTCCCTCTTCTGCCTTCCTCCTTCCTACCCCCTCTGTCCTCCTCCTCTTCCCTCCTCTCTCTTCCTCCCTCTTCCCCCCTTTGCCTTCTCCCCCAACACTTTCTACTTCCCACTCCCTCCTCCCTCTACTCTCCTCCCCCTCCTCCTTCTTCTGCCCCCAGCTAACCTTTCCTCTAATCTGACCATCTGCAGACATCCACCTGTTCCTCCAGCCCCCCTTCCCAGCCTGCAGACTGACCTCCACCCGGAGGTATCGGAAGCCCCTCTGACCCAAACCGTCTACCTGCATCCATCTTCCATTCTCCACCAACACATGGCACCCTGCCCGCTTCTGTTTCCTTCCTCCTGTCTTGGTAAATGCCACCTTACCCCCAAGTCAGAATCACGGCCCTCCCTGACCAGGTGTCCCCTCTGGCCTGTCTTGGCATGAACCCAGCCCGGCCCCTGGTTCTGGGTACCCACTCTTAAGCTCACTCTGCCTGGTTCCTGTCCTGACTCTAACGTGTACTTGCTGTGTGACCCTGGGAATTTACTGGCCCTCTCTGGGCCTCAGCTGATACACCTGTAAAGCCCTCAGGGGCTGATACACCTGTAAAGCCCTCAGCAGGCAGGTGGTGCCCCAGGGGCCTGCTGGACCGATTGTCATTGCTAAGTTGTCACTGCCATTCCACCCCGAGGCCTGGGGCTAGGACCTGTCACAGGCCAGGCCCTTTTGGGAGCTTTGATTCCCTGTTCTTAACTTGTGCTCTAGCCGCTCTAGCCGTTAGCACGCCCTTGAACTACCACCCTGCCATGAAATTTTTCGTGTGGGATCTTCTGCCTTCTGTCTATTTTGAACCTCCTCTGGGAGGCCTCCCCCACTCCCCACGAGCCCTTTTCCTGTGGTGCGGGTCTCCTGCACCAGGCGGTGACCTTGAAGCCCCGTTTCCCAGGCCCTGGCGCAGACGAGTGGCTGGGTGGCTGGATCCCAAAGGAAGAACACCCCGGGGATGGCCCGCAGGGCAATTCTGGGCAGTCACCTTCCCTGACCTCCCTGCTCTGCCGGATCTGTCACCAGGCAGGCTTCCGTTTCCCCGGAGCTGAGGCTGGGAGGCAGGGAAATCTCCACATGAAGGCCAGTGACAATTCCTTTACAAGTCCCGAGTCCTGAGTCCTGCAACAGAGGACCCAAGGTCCAACAGCGCTGTTTGCAGATTTCCCCCTTACGAGCCTTGATGCTTCTCCTAAAACTCACGAATTATCTACATGTGACCCCAGGTCAGGTTGAGGCTCCTGGAGAGAAGGCCTCACGGAGTGTTTGCTCAGAAGTCCCTTCTGGGGCTACAGGTGCACATCACTGGCTGAGTTGGTGTCCCAGGGCACCCACCCGGCCATATGTAAAATCCTTTAACATTTGTGAACGGGGTCCCTGTAGTTTGGGGGGGGGTCCACACTGAAACACATTCTAGACAACAGACAGGAGAGAGGCTTCTGTAGGCCGGCCCGCTGTTTTCCCCAGAACTGAGGTCTGCAGCCCACACACGTGCCCATGTGAGGTGGCTGACGACAGTCCAGTAAGTTTACAACTGAGGATCTGGGGACCACGTTCAGCCTGGACGCTCCCAGCTTGGGATACTGTTATCTTCCCAGACTTTTCAGAGCTCTGTTCCAAACATGTCACTTTTATTTTGCCTGAGTCACCCCAAGGGAGCATAGCGTACATAAACACACCCCTACATCAGTATCCCTGCATGGTCTTTTGGGGGACTGGGCAGGATCGATCAACAAATAGGTTTTGTTTGTGGGCATTTTTTAATTTTTTTTTTAATGTACTTTAGGCTATTCTGGATTTTATCTTAAATCACTTGGCCTACCTAGTTGGTGTTTCTTGAACCTGATTCCAAACCACCCAGGGGCCCTGCTCTAGCGGGCCACGGCCACACACGTCCAGGTGAGGCGGCCCCCCCCATAAACTGACCCATACACTTGCCCAGATCTGCTGTGGATGCATCCACGAGAGGGTGGTCTTACGGTCATCAGGGGGCTTAGCTCCTAAACCCCTTCTTTGGAAAACAGGCTGCCCTGACTCCAGACGTTGGTCCATCTTGGGAAGTGCTTAATACACATTCGAGATTCTTAAGGGCTCTTTGTTCACCCGGGAGCTTGACATCCGCACGACCCCAAGGAGAGCTTGGTTGACTCTGCTGATTTCCCACGGCAAGACGCCTGGACCCTGCCCTTGGATCGATCCTTCGTGTTAGAACTGGAGTTTCGCTGTGCCTCTGACCGGGGAACCTGGGCCCACTTTGGGTGTCTGCCGCTCCAGCAGCAAACACAGGAGAAGCAGCAAGTTCACAGACATACAGAGCTGACTGACTTCTCCTTAATGCCCCGCCACCCTGAGCAGATCTTTTATCCTGTCTGGGGCTATAACCTGTTTTGTGAACAAGTCCTAGACTTGCCGCTTGGGACTGGCGGAGAGGACTCTGTCTCGGTACCATTTGATCCCATCAGACCTATGGAACCCGATTTTGATTTAATTCTCTGACTTGGCTGGCCCCGCTCCCCGGAGCTCTCACCCGAGGCTGGGCCAGGCTTGCCAGGATTCAGCCACACTTGGTGCCCAGGTGCTCCCAGAGAAAGTGTGTCTACGACCAAGCCCTCACAGCCGGCCACCGAGAGTCACAGCAGCGATGTCCAGCCCTTCCACATTTCCTGCGTGTCATTCCACTGAAACTTGAAATTAAATTTCTCTGCCAGCCTCGCCAGCCGCCCATCTGCCGTTTCACACGACAACCAGTCATCTCTCTAGCTAGAGACGCATAGTCAGGATCTGCTTGAACAGCGAGCAGAGGCAGAAAGTTTGCTCTGCTCTCTCCACACTTAGGCAAGGGAACCTCATGACGCGCAAGGGACCAGCACCAAACTAAAGAACATATTTTATTTTTAATAAAATAGTGGAGCATGAAAAATATCATATATTACAAATATACACAAGCAGGACCACTCTTTCCTGGGGTGTGGGGAGAATCAACTAGATTTGTGTAGTGCTTCATGAACTATTCATGGAAACCATTTGTCTAACAATAGAAAGAGTCAATAACCCCTTTGGATACTTTTGAATGATCTTTCTCCCCTCCCCCCCCTCCCACAAATCAGTCCAAACGTGTATAACATTGGCTTGGTTTCCATTAAAAAGCCACAAAATGTAACACTAGAGGGTTTCTGAGGGCTGGGCCTCTCTGTGCTTTTGTTGGGATTTCTTTTGTTGTCTTTATGTACAGCAAAATACTTGTTTCTCTTTTCATTTTCACGGAAAGAGGGAAGAAATGTATTGCACATTGTTTGCAGTTGCAAATGTTAGGTTTGGAAGTTTCTGTCTTGGAGAAAGACCCGTTTGTGAAGGCTGGAGTCTATTTTAAGTGACTCCAAATGCACTGGAGTGTGTTAAATCGTCCGGGCTCCCCTTTCTTCCTGTCTGCACAGACGCTGCTGTCCCACACACAGCCTTCCTGGGGGTGGGCCCCCGGGGGGACGGCCCCTCGCCGGAGACCCACTTTGCCTCTTTTGCTCTCTCCCCCTCCTCTGTCCCTCAGTGCTCCCAGCAGAAGTCCTTTACCGTCCAAAGAAGTTACCTCTCCTCTGACTTGTAAATGGGTAGCAAAGCCAGCTCAGAGCATATACACAGCTCTGTTTGTAAGGAAGCTTGGAAACAAAAGTTTTTTCTGGGGCTTGACTTGATTGCAAACCAGTTACCGGAGAGGCTGCTTAACTGGGGAGCTCTCCTTCTGGAAACCAAACCAAACAAAAAACCTGGAAGCACATCTCTAACTTTCAGTGTATCACAGCATCCTGAATTTCAGGGTAAAAACTTTTTTTCTTTCACTTTTATTAAAAAAACAAACAAAACAAAACAAAAAACAAAACCAAAAACAAAACCCCAAAACAAAAAACACCAACCAGGAAAAGCACCACGTTTTGGCATGGCTCTGACCGCCAGGGCATCCTGTCCGGGAAAGTTTTCCACTCCGGCCCCTTCCCTCCCCAGCTCCCTCTCCTCCCCCACACTCCCGCCCCCACCCCCTACAAGCCAGCTCACACACAGGTGGGAGGCTGGGCAGGGATTTCATATTTTGCTAGATGGGTTTTCTGGGGATGCTGGGCTTTTTTGTAAATCCCACCGCTGGTGAGCACACTGGCGGGTTTCCTCCTGCTCTTCTTCTTGAACCTGCGGCTGAAGACGTTCTGCCACGACTGCAGGGTTTTGGACGTCCAGATCCACATCCCGCTGGTGATACCCACCACCAGCAGCATGAAGATCTTCACCATGAAGATCTCCACGGCCGGGATGGAAGCGGCCATCAGACAGTCCGGAGCCCTGGTCACGGTGTTCATCCTGCACGTGTGCTGGGCGGCCAGGATTCTCCAGTACTCCATGTTGAGGCGCTCGTAAAAGTAGCAGGCGATCACACAGGTGGCCGGCACGGTGTAGAGCACGGAGAAGACGCCGATCCTTACCATGAGCTTCTCCAGCTTGTCGGTGTTCTCCCCGCCCGTCTTCATCACCCTGCGGATGTGGAAGAGCGCCACGAAGCCGGACAGGATGAAGGACGTGCCGATGACCAGGTAGCAGGCCAGCGGGACAAGCACGAAGCCGGTGAGAGCATTCACGTCCATGCTGCCCACGTAGCACACGCCGGTGAGCTCGTCGCCCGCCACCCTGCGCATCACCAGGATCAGGATGGTCTTCACGGCGGGGATGGCCCAGGCTGCCAGGTGGAAGTAGCTGCTGTTGGCCTCGATGGCTTCGTGGCCCCACTTCTTGCCCGCGGCCAGGAACCAGGTGAGCGTGAGAATCACCCACCACAGCGAGCTGGCCATCCCGAAGTAGTAGAGGACCAGGAAGACCAGGGTGCAGCCTGTGCTCTCCAGCCCCTCCTGGATGACATAGAGCTGCCCGCTGTCCCGGTCGCAGGCGATGCTCTCCGCACCGGCAAAGAGGCGGATGATGTAGCCCACGGAGTAGACACAGTAGCACATGGACAGGAAGATGATGGGGCGCTCGGGGTACCTGAAGCGCGCGGGGTCGATGAGGAAGGTGAGCACGGTGAAGGCGCTGGAGAAGAAGCACAGCACAGCCCAGACGGCCAGCCACACCACCGCGAAGCGCTTGTCGCCGCGGCTCCAGTACACGTCCACGCCGGGTGTGCACAGCGGCGCGCACGCCGCGCTCTTCTCCACGTGGTGGAACTTGCCCGGGTTGTCGCAGCTGGCGCGCCCCGGGCCCGCGTCCCTGAGCGAGTGCTCCTGCGCGCTGTGCGGCCGCTGCGGCCGGAAGAGGGGCGGGAACAGGCCAGAACCCCGGGAGGGCTCGTCTGAGCCGTTGTTGGGCGCCTCCATGCACAGGTAGTTGGGATCGTTCTTGCTAGGGAGCTTGCTGCAGTCCAGCGAGTCGGGCCACTTGAAGTTGAACTGCTCCATGATCGGGGAGCACTTGAGCCGGGCCTGCTCGCACATGACCCGGCAGGCGGGGATGGGGGTGGAGACTTGCTCGGTGCACATGGGCGCGTACAGAGAGCACAGGAAGAAGCGGAGGTGGCCGTGGCAGCCGTACTCCACCAGCGGCGCGAACTCGTGCAGCTGGATGGCGGCCTCGCGCTGGTTCTCGTGGCCCATCAGGTTGGGCATGCGGGTCATGTTGTAGCCAATGTCCTTGCACATCGGGATCTCGATGGGTTGGCACTTGCCGTCGCCCGGGCGCTCCATGTCCATGGAGCTGATGGCGGCGCACGAACCCATCACCTGCAGGACCAGCCACAGGCGGGGGCCCGGACGCGGCATGCTGGCGTCGGAGGTGCCCCGGGGGGAGGTCCGCCCCCCTCAGCGCCGCCGCTGCCCGGTTCGGGCTTCGGGCCCCGGCTCCCCGTCCCCGCTCCGGCCCCCGCCCATGCCCGCCCGGCCGGCCCGAGCGCTGCGCTCCGTGCCCCCGGCCTCCGCCGAGGTGGGGGCCGCGGGGGAGACGAGCAAAGTTGGCCAACAATACCGGGAAGCGCGACGGGCCCCGGGCTCCCGGCGGGCGGCGACTCCCGGCCGCGGCAAACTTTGGGCTCTTCCGCGAACGCCCAGGTGGCGCGTCAGGGAGGCCGGCGGCGCGGGCGCACGGTGGCCGGCCGGCTGGAGGCGGCGGCGGCTCCTCCCTCCCGCGCCGGCCTCGCCGGGCCGGGCCGCAGCTGCTCGGCGCCGCGCGTCCCAGGCAGAGAAGACGCGCAAAAGGCGCGGGGGGAGCGCAGCCGGGCGGCGACAGGCCCCGCCCACGGGCGTGCGCCCCGCCCCCGCCGCCGCTTTGCATGAGAAAGCCGGCCCGGCGCCCGCTCCCGCCGCCCCGCCGGCCGGACCCCCAGCCGGCCCGCCCGCCGCCCCCGCCGGCGCCCCTGCGCGGGGAAGCCCGGGGTGTCCCCGGCGCCCGGGAGCCGGGATTGCTGAAGTTCGGAGACCGGCCGCGGGAGCGAGCGGGTGGTCCGAGGCGGGGGAAGGGGGGCGCGCGGGGGGGAGTCGGGGGCGCATCTTCCCTCGCCCTGACGGTGGGCCCCGGGCGGGGTGGGGGGGCTTTCAAAGCGGGGTGGGATTGGCGTTTTACAGCCCTGGCCATAAAGTGGCCCCTCGGCTTGTAAACCTGCCCGCATCTTCCCGAGCCCCGGAGTCACCAGGCCTGCGCTCCCGGCTCGGGCTCCGGGGAGGGGCTCTCTTTGAAATTTCAAAGGGAAGAGCTCAGGGCAGGGGGAGGGGCTCGGGGAATCCAGATTTTAGGGCCGCTCCTCCGAGGTCTCCGCGGGGAAGGCGGGGAGGGGGAGGGGACGACAGCTTCCTGGGGCGCTTGGGTTCCCCGCCCCCCCGCCTGGGGAAGTGGGGGCTTGGCTTGTGTAATGACCCCCGCCCCCGACAAAGCCGCGGAGCGTAGGGGCCTCGCGCCAGGCAGGGCTGGTGAATTCTTCTAGGTGGCTGAGTTTATTTATTATAGGAAGTCATTCGCTCGTCGGGGATTTATATTATTTGGCGAGTGATCTGCCCGGCCTGCGCCCTCCTGGGCTGCAGACCCGTAAGACGATGCGTAGCTGGGGTTGGGAGGTCGGGGCGTCAGCTAGCGCGGAGGGTCCCCAGCTCCCGCGGGCGGTGAGGGCACTCACGCCACTCGGTTTCGATGGAAAGTGAAGGAGCGTCCCGGCCGCGTGCCCCTATCCTCCCACCCCTTATACCGGAGCTATTTTGTGGTAAAATCATTTGGGACACAACGCCCCTGCCCGTCTACGGCGTTGGGCGTCCGGTGTGGGCACTCACACCACTCCTTGCTTCCACATGTCACCTAGCATCCCATAGTAACCCTTAAATAAACAGCTCCCCTAAGGAGGTGGCCGGCTCTCTCTCCTCTTAGACGCCCTCGAGGTCAGGATCTTTTTAAAGCTCCTCTAAGATTCCCAGGATCACGAATAGAGGGGCAGGAGGAGGACTGCCGGGCGGGAGCTGGGAGGTCAGAGGAGCGGGCCTTTATTTTACCCCTTCCTTTCTGAAGTCAGCAGTGGGGAGGTGCGCCGCGTGGACAGACATCCCTGGGGGTTGGTGCGGCCCCTCACTCTGGCTGCCCTGCACCCCGCTCTGGAAGAGCTGGATGAATCCCGGCAGGGAGAGACGCTGAGGGTTTTGCCAGCTACCTCTAGGAGCCCTCTGGAAGGAGAGGCAACTGCCAGGCACTCTTCCTCCCGCCCTGGGAAGCTTTTTGTAAGCAGTGGCAGAAGTGGGGCACTTCCTCTGAGAAGGCTTTTTAGAAGATCGGCTTTTATTTAAAACAAGTGGTACGATTTTGCATCTGGAGGAAACTTGGGAGATCTCACATATCCACTTAGCCATCCACCCATCCATCCACCCACCCACCCGTCCGTCCGTCCATCCATCCATCCATCCATCCGTCCATCCATCCAGTAAACACCCAGAAGACTGAGGCTGGGGCTTGCCCAGGATCCCAGAACTAACAGGCAGCTTTGTGAGCCAGGCGGTCCTGAATCATTGTCCCTGACTCTCACTGTGGTGCATTGGAGGAGGGAGCAGGAGTGAGGCGGGTAGTGGAAGAGAAGGTAGACACTAATGCTATCAGAACAACCCCCTTCAACTGTATTATTATTTCCCCAGTTAAAAAAAAAAAATCACGTTTTTCAAAACTGCCATTTCACTGAAGATTTTGTTTTGTTCTGTTTAGTGCCTTATTTTCAAAACCTTCGAGTGAAACAAAGTTCAGTGGACATCACTTGGCTTCTCCAGAATTTTCCTTGCCAAGGTCCTCCGTTGGCACCATTTTGTCTCTTTTCCTTTTTGTGTCTGTCCCTCAGAAACTGTGGACACAAGGGAGAGCGCCAAACGCCCGGCGTGGGCGTGAGCTATTTGGGAAAGTGCGTCCTAATTGATCTTTTATGTGTCATTTTAATTCAGCCTTGTTCAGACCCATTATTTTAACTATAACCACTTCAGGTTGCTTTCTCCCCCCGCTTTTTTTTAAATAAAAAAAGTCTGCAGAAATGCTCTGCGCTGCCCAGCTGAGGCGGAAACCAACAAATAGACGTTATTATAGAAAAACGAGGGCTCTCAGAAATGAGCAAGATAACTCTGTAACTAATAAATGAAAAGGGCCTTTTGATGGCTCCAGCTGAAAAGATATTTTATTTTATTTTTTTTCCTGTGTGTGGGATTTGAGATGTGTGATTGTAAGGAGAAGTGGGGTCCCCTGCTGCTCGGCCCTGGCTGGCAACCGGCCCCCCTCTGGCAAATGTTACGGAGAATTGGGAGGAATTTTATGGCTGTCTTTCCCCTCAGCTCTTTTTTCCTTTGTCTTCTTTGAAGAATGACTTTAGACATTTTATTTACATATTTAACCATGGATGAAAGAGGCAAAAGAAAGCATTTGGGGCTGTCGTGGGAATAGTGATATGTTTAAATTAATGGAAATCTTATTAGGCCTCTAAAATTTTGAGCAAAGGTTTTTAATGAAACTTTATAATTAAACATGATTTCAAATAACATGCAGGGATAAGGAATACTATATATATATTTTTTACCTCAACCACCCCCCCAAAAAATTATATATATATATGTACACACCTCAGAGAACTACTCTTAAACACAAACTACTTCTTCAAGTTCTTGCAAATGTTCAGCCAGCCAGAAAAGTAGAGGGTTTTTAAGAGGGACTCTCCCTGAAGTCAGCCCATATGTTGAAGGACACCTCAATATTTTTGGACGGCGGGGAATTTGAGGAGTGGAAGTGTCCTCCCAGTCTACCAAAGGCCAAAGTATAAAATACTTGGACACAGATATTGCTAAAAATCAAAGTTGTATCTCTCCATATTATGTTATAGTTAGCGGAAATTAGAAAGCACTGCGCTCGGCTCTCTGAAACGAGATTAGAGAAAACCCACATAATCTCTTTAAGATAAAAGTACTGACACTTTGAGCAGGAGAAAGAAATTAAAGCATAGACTTTGCACATTACAGGCTAATTGCAAGAGTGAAGCTGTACAGTATCAGTGAAGCTCACGGAAAGAAAGAGGGTAGTATTAGGGGGCAAATTTCAGATAAAACGGGGCTCAGGCTCTCCCAGTTGCTTGTGGAGGGCTCTGGCTTGGATGATGTGTGACATTCAGGTTTGGTGATCGGGTGAAATGGGTGTGTGTGTCTGTGTCTGTGCTCTTTTATCTTCCAATGTCATTAATATGTGTATTTCATCGGGAACTTTTCCAGTCCTGCTTTCAAGTAAGAGGAAAACGCCATCCATTTGCTGATAATTGCCTGACACGCAGAGGGGTCTCCGATACCAAAAGGCACTATTGCCGTGACCTCAACTTATTATCAGATTTAAAAAAAAAAAAAAAAGGCAGGCAGGGAAAATTCTATTTCTAACCAAGCAGGAGGGCAGTTCTCCTGGCCCCCCGGTTTTTCTCCAAGGAAAACACCTTCCGTCCTCTGAAGGGATTCTCACTAAGGCAAACACGTGGTCTTTGCCACCGGGGGACGAACGCAGCCCATACAACAGGCACAAAAGTTGGAAGGACACCGAAAAACACTCCTCTGTACAAAGGCTGCTGGTTTGGGCGGGAGGGGAGCGCAGCCCAGAAAAGCGCGCATGTCCTCAAATGGGAGACTGGCATGGGGTGTGTTTGCTGCGACCCAACTCAGGCCCCTATATTAAGGCCATGTCCCCTGAAATGTGGCTTGAAATATTACCAGAGGTTCCACGGGGTGCATTAGTGTGAATTGCAAATCAGAGCCTGCCTCTAATCCCCCTTTCAAGGGCCAGCTTTGGATCACTGGCGTCTATGGGGCTCCCCACTGTTTCTGGCTCGGGAGGGACCATTCAAGGAGGCAGCTTCTCTCCGCTATTCCCACACTCCAAAAAACAACACCGCAGACAGACACCCTCCAACTAAATTAGATTAAACTCCTTGTTCTCCACAGCACATTAGCCTTTTTACTGCCCGAAGGTGATTATCCGAAGCCTCCTAATTTAAAGGTACAGTATTTCTTTTTTCCACACGACAGCAACAACAGCAAACGTCCTGAAAAAGGGGGACAACGCTGGCCTTCGTGTAAGTGCTTCCAAATTACAAGGATATTATCTGTTTAAAATATAGGAGAGGCCTAGCATATGCCAGCACTAAAGCACAAACAAATTGACCCGGACCCTCGAAAAAGGACTTAAATCTATTATTCTTGTAGAGGATTTCTTTTCTTTTCTTTTCTTTTCTTTTCTTTTCTTTTCTTTTCTTTTCTTTTCTTTTCTTTTCTTTTCTTTTCTTCTTTTCTTTTCTTTCTTTCTTTCTTTCTTTCTTTCCTTTCTTTTC